GAGAAACAATGTTGGCTTGTCTTCTCACATTTCACACTTGGTTTCATCCCCTTAACCGCCAGTGCTCAGCATGGACATGCTGCCTGACTTCTTGAGTCATGGATTCATAGACATCACAAGGGCTGCATGTGTGCTTTATTTTGCCCACTCATCCATTTTCCCATTCTGATATACTGTATATCAATGGTGGAAAAGTAGTAGTAGTTTAAACTTTTAAAAAATTCTAGCCCTTCGCCATTACATAACGGCTGCAATTCAACATATATACTTATCTTTCATACATCATTGGCGTCGAGCTGAGTCCTTGTACCTTCAAAATCATCATGATAAAAATTTATGTCATGTCATGTGTCACCTCATATGAAGTTATTTTCCACACCGCTGATACTGAACAGGGTCACTGGGGGGGACAGGGTGGGGGCAGCGGGGGTTGCTGGAGACTATCCCAGCTGACTTTGTACTACTTAACCCTGAGTTGGTCAACCGCCAGTCACAGGGAACACATAGTCGAACAACCACCCAAACCCATATTCACACCGTCACAAAGCAGGAAACGATTCCATGACGCAAGATAAAAATATATAGTTAAAATAATTAAATAGAATGTAAGGAAGTAAACAGTTTGTGCACCATAATTATTTAATTGTGACTATTTTTCACAAGAAAATTGAGACTATCAGCCTGTGAGCATTGTTAGTCTGCCTATGTTGCTGCATCGTTAGTGTTAAAATGTCCATCGCTTGAAGTGCCATAACATCGCAACATACGTGCTATTCTGGTTATGGCATTTTCTAGGATGTTAAATAGGATGTAAGGAGGTAAACTGTTTGTGCACCATAATTATTTAATTGTGGCTATTTTTTACAGAAAATTGAGACTATCAGCCTGTGCGCATTGTTAGTCTGCCTGTGTTGCTGCATCGTTAGTGTTAAAATGTCCGTTGCTTGAAGTGCCATAACATCTCAACATAAATGCTATTCTGGTTATGGCATTTTCTAGGATGTAATAGAATTAAGCTGGCGGCCATTTTTTCTTTGTTTTAAATATGATGATTATATGAAACTGCTGCTTATTGTGAAGTCCATTGAGTTGGGTCTAGTTCACTGCCACCCTTAGTGCTGGTATCCAACACATTAGATAAATGATTAAGAAAACATTACTCTTGTCAACGTCTTCACATTTCCATTTTGTTTTCAACCAAGTCAGCAAAACAGTTTACCCTTAGAAGCTTTACCCAGTATTAAGACAGAGATGTTCCCACAATGACTGTGTGCTTTGAGAAGTCAAAGAAAAACAGTCATAGATATGCACACTCCCACTTCTCTGAGTTGACCCCCCCCCCCCCCCCCCCAC